TTGATTTGTAAGAAGAGTAACATTATCACGAAGTTGTTGAAGTTCTTTCCTTTCTTCTTCAATATTAACATCACTCATATGAATAGGAACCTGAAAACAAAAGAAATGAAATAAGGAAGAAAATAAGTCAAAACAAACCTGTTCAAAGGGTTGTTTCAATGTATCCGATGACATTTTTTCTGAAAAAGAAATGAAATTTGACATTTTAATATCAGTTATAGAATAAAAGAATCATACGAATGGTTTGTTCAGCATGGTCTCGATCGATGTCAACAGGTCGTTTTTGAAGTTCATCTGTCAAAAGTTGTTTTTCAGCATCAAGTTCTTCACATTGTTTTTTCATAACAAGTAATTCTTGATTCAATTCATTTATTGTATTCATATAACTTTCTAGAATTGACTCCAAATTACTTGTCGATTCTATGTAGAAAAGAGGATAAGTAAAAGAAATCGATAATGAAAATAAAACTACCTGAACAAAGTACATCGTTAGCTTTTTCTAGTGTTTGATACTTTTCATTGAAATCTTCTCTTTCTTTCGACAATTGTTCAACAATCTGTTGTGCAATGCTATCCAATGATGTGTTTTCATCAAAAGACAAATAATCATGAAGTTTCGATCGAAAATTCTGGAGCTGTGCCTCTTGGTATAGTTGCCAAGCACGATTTGCTTCGTTAAGTTGTGCGCATTGAGTTGTGAGAAGAGCAACATTGTCTCGAAGTTGTTGAAGTTCTTGTTCACGTTCATCGACCACAGGAGATGCTGATTGAATTGATGTAACAGTATGAATCTTGGGCTACAAATTAAAGATAAATATACAAATTGTTGAATTGAAAGAAGTTATACATACTTCCTGAATTGGTGAACCAGATATTTGTTTGTTGAAGAGTTGTGAATCGGATGATATTGAATCTATAGAATAATTTTCAATAATAATCTAAATTATTATATAGAAATTTTTACCAGGTATTAATGTTTTTCTTTCAGTTTCAATTTGATCATTTTGTTGCTTGAGCATGAGTATTTTTTGATTAAGTTCATTTATTGTACTATCATAAGTTTCTTGGGTTAGTTTATTACTATCGGCTAATTCTTAAGAAAAAAGAAAATAAAATGAATCCTAGATAGAACAATAAGTCTTTTACCAGAACGAAGATCATTCATTAGTTTTCCAGAACTCTGTAACTGTTGCGTAAGACTTTCATGTTCATCTTTTATTTGATCAATGTAAGTATTAATGTATTGTGCTATGTCATCAAATGCAAGATCATTGTCAATAGGTAAATTAATTTGAAGTTTATTTTTAAAATTATCAAGTTGAATTTGATGATATTGTTGCCATGCGCGATTGGCTTCATCTAATTGTGTATATTGCGTAGTTAAAGTATCAAAATTTTCTCGAAGTTTACAAAGTTCTTCTTCATAATTTGGAGTAGAGCTTTGAATTGAAATCTATCAAAGAGATAATTAAACAAAAATAAGGATTTTAAAAATTTGAAAACAAACTTCTGCTGATTCATCTTTTTGCAAAGGTTGAGTTTCTTCATTATTTTCTGTTTGTGTATATTTCGATTGATGAATATCATCTCTCATAAGTTGTGCATTAACAGTTGGAATTTCATCAATATGGTTTTGTAAATTGTCATCTATTTCTATGTCATAAATAAAATAATCTTAATGGTGTTGAAAAATAAAACTTACTTTTAGTATTTTGTAATTCAATAAGTTGATTATTAATAATATTAAAACGATTTTCAATTTGTTGTATAATATCATCAAAAGATAAATTTTCAATATTAGTTAATTTGAATCGATCACATAATAATATATTTTGATTTTGTTGATATTGTTGCCAAGCTTGATTAGCATCATTTAATTGTTTGAATTGTATATTCATTGAATGTAAATCTTCTCGAAGTTGTTGAATTTCTTCGGTTTCTTGTTCATGATTAATATCCGATGTTGATTTAACTAATGGAATATGATGAATACGAGCCTGAAAAATAATTTAATTTTTGGAAATAAAGATAATCTTGAAAAAAAAAAGACAAAACTAACTTGTGATATTTGTTCTGTACGATAACGATCTTCTAACATTGGTATTAATTGATCAATAGATTGAATTGAATCAAATGGTATTTTAAAATATGTATATAAGCGTTTTGTTGATGATTTATATAAATTTAAGTCGGATTCTAATTGTATTTTATTATCATCCATATTTTGTATTGTTTTAAATAATTGTAAACGTTCTTGTTCTAATTGATCTAATTTTTGTTTATCTTGATTTATTTGTATATTTAATTGATCAATATCTTGTCGATCTTGTTTATGTATTGATTGTAATTTGTCATATTCTTTACGTAAAATAGATTCACGTTGTTTTATTTGTTCTTTTTCAATAAGATCATTTTCTATTTGACGTAAATAATCCATGACTTGTTGTTTTTCTTGTAACATTCGACGTTGTGTTGTAGATAATTGTGAACGAATTTGTATATTATCCGAACGAAGCATTTCAATAGTTGAACCTAAAATGAAAGTTATAATTAAATATTTTATAAAGGAGAATTAATTTAGAAAAAAAAAAAATTATCTCAACGAATAACTGTTAGTTTTTTTAGAACTGCGTAAATTAGAAATCTTGTCATATTTTGAACCTTGACATAATTTCTTTGTATTAAAAACGAATTTTAGTTTTGTGAAAATCTCAAGTATTATTTCATTTGCAAAATTTTATCTTGGTAGAATTAGTTCAGATATGTTAGCATTTAAACAAAGATTATATCCAATGTCGGATTCGAATTTTTACGGATGCAATAGATTTTGAATAAATACAATCATCAAGTTGATCAATTAAATTTGAATCTAAGAAGTTATGGAGAGTTTTATGAGCAAGAACTGTTGTAATGAAAAACTGTCCATAATCACTCGTACCTTTACTTAATTCATTCATTGATGATTGCGTTAATTGAACTATCATTGATTCCTCTCAGTTCATTAACAAGAATCCGAATTTGACATGGGCCTATAGACTAATTCGAGTTTTAACATAAATTTTCCTCTCAATCTGATATAAGATGTATCCAATCCCAAATCCAAGATCTGTCTAACATTGAATCTTCTTCAGCTGTCCTCTTTCGATTTCAATGATTTGCTACTCCTTAGTGTTCTAACAAAAACCATAAAAGGATTTAAGTTTCTATTGATATCTGATTAAGTTATCAAGTTTTTTTCTCTAAACGTCCTACGTTCTTGGAGCACTCATATTTTCGAATTTTGATCTGAAACATTATACATATAGAAGACTCAACTAGACTAGCTATCATAAAAATATTTACAAATTTTAAACAAAGTCTCATATCTCGAAGAGACTTTGCTCAAAACTTCTGCATTTGTTAATGAAAACTAGTCTAATTAAATTCTCTACATGCACAAACTTTTAGATCAAAATTCGAAAGTATGAGTTTTTTGATTCATCAGTAGAAATTTATTCTTGATATAATCATTTCATCATCATGGTGGAAAACAAATAAAAATGATTTTTAATTTTCTGTGCTCAATATTTACTGCTAGTTCTTGAAAAGAATACAACTGAAAACTTAGTTTTGTTTTTATATGTAGAAAAAAAAAATTTTCGTTTTTGAAACAAAATTACCCTGTTCAGCAATTTGTACATTAGCTTGTTGTAATAATTTTTCTAAATCTTGTTTACTCAATTGAACAACTTTAATATCATTAGTTAAACGTATTCTGTCAGTATCAATCATTTTACAATCACTTTCCAGATTCATCATTGAAATTTCTAAACGACGTTTAACAATAATATGATTTTGTATATCAACAGTTAATTCAGCTATTTTTTGTTTTAATTCATCAATAACACCTGTTTGTGCTTTAGCATCACAACGTAAAACTGATACTTTTCTTGTTAAATTGATATTTTTTTCTTTAATTATTTCATATTCTTTTTGTAATTGTTCAAGTACAAGATTTTTTTCTTCTAAAGATTTTTTTAATAAATCAAGTTTTGTTTGATCAATATTTATTTGTGTTACATTTAAACGTTTATGTTCACCTAAATTATTATTTATTGTTTCAATTTGTTTTTGATATTCAGAACGTTCTTGTAAAAGTACACGTATTTCTGTACGTAATGAATTAATATAATCTTGAAATAAATTACGTTCTTTATCCCATTCACTAAATATCATATCATCTGATACACCACTATATGTTGTACCATGATCAGATTGATTATCTAAACCTTGTTTACTTGCACTACGATGTAATGATGCAATTAAATCTGTTTCTGATGTTGATATATTACGATTTAATGAATTAACTGATTGTCTTATAGCTACACCAGGTATAGAAGCTTGTTTTATATGAAATGTTTCAAATACTTCACGATCTTCTAATGATGGTGATTCAATATGATGTATTGGTATAAAATGATTATCATTTGTTGTTGCTGGTACAATTGATTCTGGTATTGATGCTATAAATGTTGATGAAAATGGAAGACAATTTGTTTGATTTGTTTCTTCAGTAAAATGAACTGATTGTGTTATTGATGATAAATCAATATTATTATTTGTACCATTAAATGGATTTTTTGTTATACGTGAACAAAATGATGCTGTGGGGGATGAATATGTTCGATTATATTTCATTTGTCTTACACGATCAACTTCTTTTTGTATATCAATCAATGATGTTGAATGAGATGGACTTGGTTTAATATTATCTTCATGTATATCTGATAAATTTTGATGGTTACCAATAGCTAATTGTTGTAATGTTAATGCATCAAATTGATGTATAGTATTTTCATTGAGAATAGGATTTTCTTCAGAGATTAAAGATGGTGGTGCTGATGTTGATGGTATATGTTCAGCTTCTTCTTGTTGTTGTTGCTCTTGTTGTTGTTGTTGACTAGACATTGTTATAGATGATAGTTGGTCGAAGGAATTTGAATGTTTAACAGATGTTGATACTTGTTGATCACTTTTTATAAAATCTGTTGAATAATGAACGAGAGAATCGTTAAGAAAAGAATTTAATTGATCATTATTTGTAAACTGATTAAATTTATCATCATCGGCAGAGAATGTTATTCGTTCTGGTTTTAACATTGAATAAAATTAAATTGTTTTTTGATATTATAAAGGTCTCAACTAAAACAGGATTGATGAGACACATTCAGAAAGAAAAACAATTCACGACGTGTAAGGTTTGAAGACAAGGACAATTGGAGTGTCTATATAGCCAACCACAGAAAGGAAGAATAAAATAGTCTATAAATAGACATATATATATATTGAATAAATATTGACAAGAAAAAAACTATGATCAATAGCTCAACCAAGCATAACCTAAAACTTTTATAACTTTTCTTTGCTATCGATCGATATTCGGCGACGCATGTTTTCGTTCGTTCTTACAATCACCATCTGTACACGCGTCACCTGAAGATTGTAACGGATTGGTTATTTACAACCATACACATTAAATAAAGACCTCATTCCAAAATAGAGAATAAAATTCTAAAAGTTTATTTTCCATTCTTTTTTTTTTTCTTTCGAATTAGTCATAAAAATTTTCTTTTATTTTTGTTATAAGAAATGATCACCTATTTGTTATGTTTTTCGATTGCATCAGATTTAGTTATTTTCTTTCATCATATACTTTGTGATTACTCTTTTAGATATTCATTCATTCACAGTATAGCTATATCAAAAGACATGACAACAAACTCGAATACTACAACGAATTTAGAATCAGCAATTTCAACCGGTTTATTAATAACTGACAATGATCTGAATGATTTAATCAAAATACAAGGTGACCTTGTGCGAAAACTCAAGGCTGAAAAAGCTCCATCCGAACAGGTTTGCTATTTAATTATTAATTAAATATATATTTAAAAAATCTATTTGAATAGATCACTGAAGCTATCAATAAATTAGTAAGTTTAAAAAAAGAACTATCTGATCATCAAGCAATCAATGGTGAAGAACAGACTACTGGTGGTGAAAAACTTCTTAAAACTCCTCGAGTAAGTTTTTGATTGTTAGTAAAAGACTTTAAAGAAAAAAAGAAAATTTTGATTTAGGGTACACGTGATTATCATCCAGGTCAGATGAAAATTCGTGAACAAGTGTTTCAAATAATTACTGATTGTTTTAAACGACACGGTGCCGAAACAATCGATACACCGGTTATTGAGCTTACGGTATGAAATAATGTGTTTTTTTCTTTGAAGAAAGAGTGAAGATTTGTATGTTATACTGTTTTCTATTTTTAGTCACTTCTCACAGAAAAATATGGTGAAGATTCGAAACTTATTTATGAATTAAAAGATCAAGGTGGTGCAGAACAATTAGCTTTACGTTACGATTTAACTGTACCATTTGCACGTTATATAGCTGAAAATAGAATTGCAACTATGAAACGATATCATATAGGAAAAGTTTATCGACGTGACAATCCAAAAATGACACGTGGTCGTTATAGAGAATTTTATCAATGTGATTTTGATATAGCTGGTGATTTTGATCTAATGGTACCTGATGCAGAATGTATTAAAATTGTTGTCGAAATTCTCGATAAACTTGATTTAGGACAATATAAAATCTACGTAAGTATTTTCTCAGTTATTTTTTAATGTATTTTTTGTTTATTTAAAAATTAATAGAAGTATCTTTACGAGACAAATATACACTTTCAAGATTATTCTTCTAAAGTTAACGATCAAAAGATCAGTATTAATCGTAAAATCTATTGTAAAAAATAATAATTTTCTTAAAATTGAATGAAATCGCTATAGTCCAAATTCTCATCCCAGAAGATTTTAGATAATTTATTCTTCCGTTTGATTGTCTTTGACTTATACATGTTAACATAGAACATATTTGATTACAACTGTTGGAATAACATGACTTTTGCAGTACTGACTCTTGTAGTTAGGTGTTGGGAATTGCCAACAGTTGTATTTCTATTGGACTTTTGATCTTTCAATTTAATCATGTGAAAGAAAATATAAGAATATTTAAATATTATTTTACAATGATTTTTATCATTTACAGATTAATCACCGCAAATTACTCGACGCAATATTTGCTGTATGTGGTGTTCCAGATTCACACTTTCGTCCGATAAGTTCATCTGTTGATAAACTTGATAAAGTATACAATAATATATACTTATTTATTATTTTAAATTAAAAAATATTTTATTTGTTATAGACACCATGGCACGTTGTTCGAAATGAAATGATCAATGAAAAAGGTTTATCACCAGAGGTAGCGGATAAAATTTGGAGTTATGTTCAAATGCATGGTATATAATATAAATATATATATATATATTATAAATAATTCAATTTGAATAATCTTTTCTTTTTGATTTAATAGGAAATGCTGATTTGATTGATAAACTTCGAACTGATGTTCAATTAATGACTCAAAAATCAGCTCGCGAAGCATTAGATGGTCTTGAAATACTTTTTCGTTATTTAACATTATATGGAGTTATGGATAAAGTAAAAAGAAAACAATCTTGAAATTTTCTTTTTGCTTTTCTTAAATGAATTTTTTTTTTAATTAGATTACATTCGATTTAAAACTAGCTCGTGGTTTAGATTATTATACTGGTGTTATTTTTGAAGCTGTTCTTACTAAATATCAATATGATCCACAATTAGGTGACGATCAAGTTGCTGTTGGAAGTGTAGCTGGTGGTGGAAGATATGATGAACTTGTTCATAAAATTGATCCAAGACAACGACGTGTACCTTGTATTGGTGCAAGTATTGGTGTTGAAAGAATATTTGCAATAAAAGAACATCAAATGACTGAATCGAAAATTCAAACAAAAACAATTGAAACTGAAGTTTATGTTGCATCAGCTCAAAAGAATTTAATTGAAGAACGTATGAAATTATGTAGTTATTTATGGGCAAATGATTTTAAGGTTTGAATTATTATGATACAAAAAATAAAAATAAAATTCTGTTGTTTTTTTTATAGGCAGAAATGGCATTGAAACGTAATCCAAAAATGCTTGATCAATTACAATATTGTGAGAAAAATCAAATTGAATTATGTGTAATTATTGGTAGTGGAGAATTAGAAGCTGGAATAGTAAAAATTCGTGATGTTGGAACAAGAGAAGAGGTGAGAGTTTTGTTTTGTTAATATTTTAAATTAAAAAAAAAAGAAAACAAATTGACTTTTTTCTTTATTTGATGATTTAGTTTGAAATTCCACGTGCTCAATTAGTTGAACAATTACGAGTTTATCTTACAAAAGTTCGACAACGCATACAAGAATCATCTTCAAAAACAAACAACAATTAAATAAACTTCATATACATTATTTGTTGTAATTTGTCGTTTGAAAAACGTTTGTTTTTGTTCTATCTATAAAATCTAGACAACTTTTTCGTTTTATCTAGGAATTTATCAAATATGACAGAAAAGAAAAAAAAAGCATATTAAATATTCATTTTTGTAAACAGAAACAGAAGAAAAACTAGATTTTTTTGGCACATAATGAGACGAATTCAATCTTAAAAAAAAGAAAATGAGAACAGTTGAGCTATGTTTTTTTTAAATACATTATCAAATTATAAGAAAAATAAAAACTAAATACAAATGAATCATTATAGAATCAAAATGATCTTAATCTTTTTTTTTATTTAAGCAAATTGATCGATTAGATAGAAAAAAGTATTATGTTTTTGAATATTAATCAAAGTGATAGTTCTGGAAAACATTCCACTAATGTCATGAGATACATAAAGAGGTGGGGGATGAGGGCCGAAAAGTAAGGGAATAAAGTAAAGAAACACCGAATTCTTTTCAGTTTTTTCGTAATAGATCGATAGTTAGGTCTCATACTTGGCGTACATATACTATATGGTAATTCTTAAAAAAGCAGCCTAGCGTCAACATTTGCCCTTAAGATATTATTGAAAAACGCATAAATGTTTCTTTTGTACTCTAATATGGTTATTGCAAAAGTTTATTGTTTCCTTGTCGTATTTTGTTTTCCACTTTTTGTCTGTTTGCATCAAACGTACGTGATGATTTAAATTCTATTGATTCTTACGTTGTTTTAAATTTCTGACATAGAAAATGACTCAAAGAGAGAGAGAGAGTATAACGGAAAGAGATCAATTGAATTCGATCAGAAAAAAAACCAGACTTCTGTGACAGTCATATAGGAGTGTACTGAAGACATTGGGGTGTTTTTCAATAAAATCTTATGAGCATAGGCTGACGGTAGGCTACTTTTCTGAGTATTATCGTATAGTATATGTGAACCAAATATGAGATCTAACTATCGATCTATTAAGAAAAAATTGGATATGTCCTTACTTTTAGGCTACCCTGTATATACGACTGGTTTTGAATCAATTTCTAATTGATTTGCGCATACTTTAATGATGCTATTGTGATCTTTTGTAGTCCATAAATCGTCAATCTGTTACACTGTCATTAGCATTGTGAGAGTGTGAATGCAACTAAAGAGAAGACCTACGCCCATGTTTTACTCTAAAATACTTTTAGACGTTTTTTGATATTAACTTGAATAAATATGTCCCATCAGGGTTTGGAAAACTTTCATTGTTTTTTTGAAAAGTAACTTCCTTCTCAAGACGTTAAATAAATTAATGCTTTTTTTTTTGAAATATAAAATAACGATTTATATTAGAGATTTTTTTATTTTTATTGCTTTTATAAATCGTTGCATTTATTTGTTGTATGTATATGCATCACTAATTATCAATACTTTTTTTGTGTCTTTGTTTTTCAAAACATAATCATTACCTATGAATGATAGGTATATTTATTCAAATTTTTTTATCGATATACCAATGAATACGATGATCAAGTTAATTCATATATAAATGAAATAAAAACCATCGTAAAACAACAGTTTTTTTCATGGCAGTGTTCTATTAAACTTTAATGAGTGACGAAAAGAAAAAATAAATATGAAATGATTAGAATAATATTTATATTGAAAAGATAAATCTTATATTTTTATGGGCAAATTAGTATTTTTATTGTATTTATCAACTTAGATAGATTTATTATTATTATTATTTTTTATATAAGCTCAAATGTAGTTCATCTAAGTTATTATATACAATGGATAATTCTCTTTTCATTGCTAAACTATATTCTGATCATCTTATATTTTTATCAAGTAGTACTTATACAATCAATAAATTTGTTTTTATCAAGTATTTCATCGCCAATCATTTATTTATCTATTTTTTTGTCGTCTTGAATAATCGAGCATATTCTAAATTTTATCCTAAATGATTTGAGCTACATGAATCACAACTAGATCATTTAATTAAATTAGTTAATAAGAATACTTTTGTCGATATCATTCATATATTGGATTTAATTGAGCTTATTGTCGATATCTCACTGTTAATAATATGAAATTCAATGATATGAATAATAGAGACGAATAAAAATCGACGATATTTGATAATGTTTATTTCTTAAATTTTAGATGAGTTCTCTAGCCAAAGTTTTTGATAATATTCCTGATTGTGTCGGGTATTTAATTATGAATGAAGATGGTTCGATTGAGCATAGCCATGGTGATTTACAAAATAATGAAAATGCCGCAAATTTAGTTTATAAAATGGTTTTATGTGCATCAAAAATAAGTGTACATCCAAAAGAACGAATGGCATTTAAACGATTTACAAGTTAGAAATTAATATTCGATTTTTCTAAGTTTAATTTAAATAATTTTTAGTTTCTGATGATCAATATGTCTATTGTATTTCTTGTGCCAATCATCGAATTTATGTTGCTAAACGTCGACAAGAATCATCGACGATTGCTTGAAATTTTTCATTATCTTGTTTTTATGTGTAATTCATGATGAACTTCCGTTTTCTGATGATTGTTTTGAAAGATAGAAATAAAGTTTTGGTCAGGTCTTTTTTCCAAATGATAATTAAAAAAAGATTTAGATTATTTATTTCTCAAAAAAGAACTTTTTAGTTAAGTAGAATGTGATAGCATCCACATAATAACTCAATATCATGTATTTTTTATTTAATTGAAATTTTTTTAAAAGTCGATTACATATTGGTAAAACAAGATTTATTTTATTACGGTTTTCGAAATGTATTTCTGTTGCTGAGTGTATCTCATTAGATCTTCAATTTCTATTAGTTACAGTGGAACATTTTCATATATGAGAATTTGCATCTTTATAATGGCAACTATCATAACGAAAACCATTCATATACATATATAATGTTGAGGAGCACAGGCTCCTCCCATTGAATGTCTTCAACCATATATACTAAAAGTCTAGAAAGACGTGGTTGTGTACTGTGCCAGAAAATATGAATCACAGATATGACTTCATCACAATTGTTCAAACGCAAAGAAATTTATGATCGATGACATCTATATATTTTTGTATTGAGCTTTTCCGTGTGAAAATATTGTCTACTAGATCTTGCATTGCTGTTTATCAAATACATGATTAATTCTTATCATATTGATATGAAACTGCGGTCCAGTCTACAGTCTTATTTTATCAAGAGAAAGGTGAACTTATTTGATTGAATATTGATGTTTACAAATGTTTTTGATGATCTGTTATTAATACAATGTCCATCGATGCGTCATTTCTGTTGAACAGGAGATTCGTTTCTAAAAAAGTCTGAGCATAGAAGGGCAGAAGATCTACATATACACCTTTTGATATTTGGTGTATGGGAATGAAGAATAATAAAGATTGGAAAAAATTACAATGAAACTGTCCAGCTTCTTTTTAAGAATTACATACGCAAACATGTTGTTGGTATGATTATTTGTTTTGAATATTGCAAACCACTACCAGCAATAAAAAACAGTGCCGATCGGTTAGAAAAGTAGAAGAGGTAGATCAACAAAGGCTAAAGCTGCTTTGCTAGTACAATAATTGAATTTTTTGATTTTCTTTTTATTTCCATTCATTCTTTAAATTCCTATTTAATGTTCTTTTGGACTTCTTATTTATTCTGTGAATTTTTATTTATTCAAATTTAGTTTTCTTGTGTTAAATTAATTTTTATAAGAATAAAACTTATTTCTTCTGCTGATAAAATCTGCATTTTTACTGGTCAGATTTGAATTTTTTACTAATCTTTATATATAAAAAACTGACCATTTTATAATTAACTATTAATTATTTTAGTATTGACCATTCAATATTTACAGTGGTCATATGTATATTATTTTACTGACCAAAAATTATGTTTTCTTTGTTTTTTTGTAGTAATTAAAACTAGCAGCCTATTTTTTATAGCATTTTCCAATTTTTTGAATAATTTTTTCATTCACTTTCCTTTACTGATGTTGTACTTTTTTGTATACGTGTTTTTTGTTTACTATTGGATTGTTCTCTGAAAAAAAACAGTAATATTGGATGTCGAAAATTTTCAAAAATCTAGTATCTACAGGGTGTCCCTAAAGTCCCTTCCACTTAAGCTTTTTGTTTATCTTTGCTACTTAATTTGATTTTATCAACTATTTTTTTAAATGATAGATAAGTACACTGAGTTTATTTATACGAACAAACTACAAAAGTACTGTTCAAAAGCATCATCTATAACTGAAATACAAAAATTTAATCTTTTTTCTATTGCCAAAAAAAACAGTATGCAATTTTTCTTTTTTAATTGCTTCGATTTCTTGACTTATTCTGATCTTTAAGAGAGGATCTACCAACCGCACAGGACCCGCCTACATCCACACCCTAGTTAAAAATATTCCATTTTAGAGTTCACTGCTTTCAACGATGGAAAATATGATCTACAAGGTGGCGCAAAAGTCACTTCACCCAAAAAAAATTGAATATCTTCATTACGGCTCGAGCAAACGAACTGATTTTTTTACCAATAATAGAGGCATGTACAAGCTTTATATCCATAAAGACATGCCTAGAGAAACCCTTTGTTAAGTATATTGTTTTTTTCTCCTATCTGTCAAAAAGTAAAACTTTTTTTGTTGAGATCAATAGTGATACTTAACAAAGGGTCACTCTAGGCATGTCTTTATAGATATCAAGCTTGAACACGCCTCTATTATTGATAAAAAAATCAGCTCGTGTGCTCGAGCCGTAATGGAGATATTCAATTTTTATTTTGGTAAATTGACTTTTGCGCCACTCTGTATATGGCCCAAAAGTCACGATGCCAAGGAAAAATTAAATATCTCCGCTACGATTCGAACAACCGGGCTGATTTTTTTACCAATAATGGAAATATGTTCACACTTTAAATCCATACGGGCAAGATTAGAGAGAGCCTTTATAAAGTATCACTAATGACCTCAACACAATAATTTACTTTTTCATAGATAGAATAGAAAACAATATACTTAACAAAGGGTTTCTCTAGGCATGTCTTTATGGATATAAAGCTTGAACATGCCTCTATCATTGATAAAAGAATCAGCTCGTTAGCTCGAGCCGTAGCAGAGATATCCAAATTTTTTCGGCAAAGTGACTTCTTTTCAAACTGAAAAAGTAAATTTTTCTTCTTGGAGTCAATAGTGATACTTAACAAAGGGTCGCTCTAGGCATGTCTTTATGGATATGAAGTTTGAACATGCATCAATAATACACCCAAGTTGAAAGTGAATGAAGACAAGATCTCCACTCACCTATTCACCTTTTTTCAAATGTCAGCATTAGAAGAAAGAGCTTTAAAGTGAGACTTTTTTTGTTTATTCTTGATTCAGTAGAGAAACGCAAACCATAAGCAACATGATTTAGAATGTTTTAACTTCACCAATCTTCTATTTACTCAACAGTATTATAGAGATGATCCGTCGACAATTCACTTTGAAATTCTTGTTTCCAAATGTTATTTGTTCTTTCGCTCTCTGTTTTCATCTTCCTATCTTCGAGTATTGGCCACGGAGCATGAGGAATAATATAGCCAACAAGCCGAAGACAATCGGCGGCATACTTCAATGGTTCTTGCATGTGTGCATGCCACATTATGTCTATCTGGAAACATAGAAATAGATCAATAAAGCAATGTTATTTTCTTTGAACATAGAATATATACCGCATATGTCGGTGGTACAAATTCATTGCTGCCTTTCAGTGGATATTTCGCTGCCATATATAAAAATCGTTCGTAAGATTTTTGCAAACGTTTCATAACTCCACATCCAAGATCAATATAGTTGTATGAGCTTCCATAGAGATTATGTATAGGAACTCTCTGCCGTGAATCTTGCATAAATCTTTTACACGACTCAAGCCAACGACCATCGAGAATGATTTCAGCTTCAGTAAATGAAAAGGGATTTTCATAATGTTCTGGTGGATGCGATAAAAATTCGAAAAACGTTTGATCCCAATAGGAATAGGAAGATTTGGAATCATTTAATGAATCATTCCCATCAGATAAGTCGTCTGATATTGGCTTCCTGTGTTGTTTGTTTGATGGTAATGGACAATATTTTTCACCGAATCGTTCTTCGTAGAAATGACATGTTTCTACAAACGCTTGCTTTTTTAAAAACTGTTGAATATCCGTAGCCAACAATGAATGATCAACGACATGACGAAACAAACGGAGACAATCAGCTCGATACATTTCTGGCCGAAGTAAATGGGTTTGCCAAACGATTTCAATATCAAGCGTAGGAATCAGTAAAACGTTTGGCAAACAGATAGCTTTCAATTGCATGAATCGATAGTATCTTGTTATCATTTGCTTCAATACAGCAGATTGGCACCATTTATCTTGAAATTCGGATACTTTTTCTAACATGGATATGAGTTCATGCGCTGTTTTTTCAATATCGACCGACAATTCGATAGTCCTAAGACAGCAAAAAATAATGAACGTTCTATCATAGAATAGTTCCTTTGTTGTATCAAATATGGAATTGGTCTTGATATTCTATTTGACTATCGACATTATTGTAGTGTGGTCAAAGAAATTTAAAGGAACATTGTCTGTATGTTACAACATCACACTTTGGTTTCACTTTCAAATATCGGTGTACTTATTTGCTAAATAACACATCTATTCTTTAAGTACACTCACTATTATCAAATCCATCGCGACAAATATTTTCTAGTCTTAGTCTATCATTAGCAAAGTTTCAGCAAGATTTCGACAGAATATTTTGAATTGAACGACAATGATTAAAAATTTGATTGAAATTTCTTCAGAGAAAAGTATTAAAATTATGAACGATCGAATTTTTCTCCTATCAAGGTATACTTTAGTTAGAAGTAAAGAAGGACATTTCCTGAAAGATTACTATTTCAACTTGTGACATATTGTGCTAACATCAATTAGATTTTTTAATGCTCGTACGTTCATCATAGAACTTTCTCGACTTCGACTACGTATGATGGGTCATGTAGATATTGATGACATGACAATGACAACAGGTAACTACGGCACTTTTTCCGTGGGTCGCTCAATTTTTGTTACAAAGTAAGGTATATCGAAAAGTTTCCTCGTGTGTAACCTAGTAATTGATTGTTATGTAAACTTTTTAGCCAACATGTGTCATCACTGATTAGATATTGATATACTATTAATACAATTTAAAATTTAAAGGAAGCCCAGAAGCAGAAGTTTTTTCGAGTTTTTCCTATATCAAACTTGAAATTTACTCTGCCTATTTTCAAACATCATCGTTTTATATTTGACTATAACTGATGGTTGGTTATGTTCAAGTCGACATCGAAACATATTCGTGATCTGGAAAATTGAGCAAAATTGATTTTATATGAACAACATCGACTCAAAACAAATAAAATACATACCTCAAATATTGATAACAATATTCGCTTTTCTGACTTTCTCATAAAA